ACATACATATATATATATATATGTATATGGATATGTGTGTAATCAAGTATGGGTATATATGTACACACACACCTACACACACACACACATATATATATATATACATACACGCACACATCCCGTATACAGTGCAAACATCTTGGAGTATTGCAGCAACCAGCATAACACAAACCAATAATCCGCAGTATAAGGGTGTAACACGAGCCTATGATACTTTATGTATTATTGCGTCTAAACGTAACGAAGTACCATAACATAATGTAACGAAATGTAACGAACAGGGAATCCTGGAAGATTATAAGACAACATGACATCACTTACATAGAGATGTACATGTGCAAAGACATACACATGACAGATCATGTACACCTACGAAAATCACACCTGCATCCACAGATGCCGTATCAACAAGGTGTTGAATATCGTGCGGTAATGTATGTCGTCATTCGAGCTACACTGTAATCCTTTGAGCGACAGCTTGGGCTTGCTCTGTGTACATTTCGTTAAATTGTGGTATCTTGCGCATCACTGGTTTCACGAATGATAGGATGTTCGTGGTGCATCAATATTAGGCCTCATCAATCTGAACCCGCCCTGCATTGCACATCATTGCACTACCCTGTGCTGAACGGCACCTGTGCATGTATGCATTGTGTGTGGCTATCTACACTACACTACCCACACGCATAGAGACGAAGATGTAGAAACGGATATATACATAACGTTTCCTATCCACGGGTACACACCCACAGAGGGCCACAATCCACGAGTAAGCATCTGGCTCGGTACGCCACCACGGCCTCGCCGTTCGTGCGCCGGACTTGGAGCAGACCATGCTCTCCTCCAGAGCTTTTAGGGAGTCTCGTGCTGCTCTACAACGTACTCTTATGTTGTACTTTACTATACCAGGCTGACGACGATGCCAGACCAGCTTGGACCAGACCAGACCAGACTAGACTACAGACTAAATCTGCGTTTTCGAGTCTTCTGCTTCGGGAAGCCTACGGAGCAATCTGGCTCAGGGATGGGCTTAGGACCCTCGAGGAGTACGCAAGGCCCCTTACCCTGGTTTGCTGTTTCCGGGTAGTTGGGCAGCTCCTCGAACAGACACGGTTCCTCTTCGCCAGGGATCTCTGCGCCAGGCCCTGAGGGTCTAAGAAACTCGCTTCAAGGCTCCCTCCGGTCGGTGTAGAGCTTGAACCCTAAGCAGCCCCAAAATTCGCTAAGTTCTACACCCCTCAGGTTGAGGGAATTGCAGAGAAGGAACCCTAAGCCCCAAAATTCGATAAGTTCTACACCCTATAAGGTTGAGGGAATTGCGGAGAAGCTGCCGGATCCAATCGGCCCAGATGGGTTTCAGAGGCATATCCAATTGGACATACACGGCCTGTCGCGGGCGAAGCTCGTACTTCCATGACCGATGGGTAAGGAAGATCAGGGATTAGAGTCTCATTACTATTATTACAATTATTATTATTATTACTATTATTATTATTGTTACTATTATTTAGTATTATTGTTGATTAACATTCGTATTAAAATACATATTCATTAATACGAATATAATTCTTTCGTGTGAAGGGCCAGGGCCGGGGCCTGGGTTTAGGGCTCTGGAAGATGAGGGACCCAGAGAGCCCAAATACCCCAGGGAACATACCTTAAATTTTTGGGGGCTGTAATACTCTATGATTTAAGGTATATATTCCATTATATTCCTTAATTAAGGGGTATTGGGCTCTTTGGGGAGTTGATGATCATCAGAAGCAGGAAGAGCTGGCTTGAGTAGGTGCAGGTTTAGGGTTTAGGGCTGGAGACTACTTAGATTCTATTGAATGACGCCATCGATGTGCGGCTAAGTCACTAACCTCCGGATCGAACTTACACACTTCGACATGCTGGCTGCCTAAATGGTATCACTGCGCTCCCGCCGCGGCAGCAGCAGAAGTAGACAGGATCGCGAAGTCGAAAGAGCAACAATAAAAGGCAGCCCAAAGTTGCTTCCCCTCTGGCAGACGCAAGCCTTCCCAACAACGAACATGTCCAGCCGGAGGTCCGTGCCGCCAAAGAAGTGGGGGCAAACACTGAGACACCAGAACTCTGCACGATGACTTCCAAGCTTAACTTTCCCAACTTTGCATGCGAACTCAGCGCTGCAAAGGTAAGATCGAGACAAACCCAGTCCGGTGGGAGGTGTTCTGGACAGCTGAATGACTCGACCAGTGTTGGTCGTCACCTCACCCCACTTTCGCTCCCTGCAAAAGGCCCAAGAGCGGCCCTTCGATCTCTCAGCCGCGGACGCACAAACACTGGAGCTCTGAGCGGAGCTTGAAGTAGACGTAGGCCAACAGGGAGCCTGGAACCTCAGCGACTCTAGGGGAACTCATATATATATATATATAAATAAATATAAATATAAATATACATATACATATAAATATAAATATAAATATAAATATATATATAAATATATATATGATATGATATGATATGATATGATATGATACTTAGAACAGCATTACTGTTACTCAATTCCGACTTCTTTTATGAACTTCCCTCATTCCCACACACCAGCACCTGCATACCCACGCAAGAAGAAAAGATCAACAAGGCGTGGAGTCCGAGGCACGACGAGGTACAGGAAAGCCCTTCAGGGGTATGGCTCCATGGCTCCGCTCTTAGTCTTCGCTCTAAGCGACCCACGGTTTAGGGTTTTGGGTTTAGGGATCAGGGTTTAGGGTTATGCGACCTTTCGTCCACAACTTCCACCCGAGTTTTTTTCAAGGCCTCGCAGCCCTTGCTTGCATGAGGTCCTTGGATCCGCAAGTCAGCTGCACTCTGCAAGATGATCCCAGAAGAAGATGCTAATATAGGGGCCGTAATCATTAGAATGGTATATTATACTATAATTATAACAAGGAGCCCCAAAATCCTTTATTAGATGAACCGTCACTTGTTGACAACTGGGACCAGAAAGGTCCACATCAACATGCGAGCTCGGGCATATCGTCACAAAAAGATTTTCGGAAGGGCTTTTAGCCTTTGAGCCCTTTCATTCGCACACGGGTTTCCGCTCACGTCCGACTTCTTTGCAAGATCCGAGATGCCGGAAGTAGCCATTCTAACAGGGCGATCCCGAAGCCATACAGAAACACCTGAGCTCATGGCTCTGATTCAGCAGATTCGTCGCGGAGGAGGGACGGAGGTCGGAGAAATGGAGATTGGCGCTTCGGATGCTCTGGTTCCCATGGAAACTATCAAAAAATCCAGCAACTCAGGTCCGGGCGAAGACGAGAAAGCTCCACAAGCTGTGACGTTGAGTTTCCTTTGAGGCTCCGGCAGCAACTCCATTTGGGGCTTGATGGTGGGCACTGGCCGTCCAACCCAAGAGAGACACCGAATGAAGCTCCTAAATAGCAGGATCCTTGCTGCAAGGACCCAAAACCCTTAATCCTGATTTCAAGAAACCACCGAAGCGCCACAGGATTCCCATGCAGCAAGGCTCGTTCCAGACAGCTGCAACCTTCTCTCCAGGTGCCATTCCGAGCAAGCGCTTGTCTACATAGCCTCGGTTCGGCCGGTCACATGCGATTCCAACTGTGCCGTGTGCCTTATGGCCAGTTCACAGTGTTGTCGAGAGCTGTCGACCAAGTCGTAGGTGTCATAGTCTTGGCATTCCACAGGCCTTAGCTTTGCAATCTGCCAACGTCACTTTCAACCCCCTCCGCAGCCCCCCCCCCCTCTCAACGAATCGATCAACCTCACGGAGAACCCAGCCTCCCTTCCCGAGACTACAGCGGAACGTGAACGACGGATGCTCTGTCAAGCTTGCAGCGTCCAGCTCCCCTCTTTAGATGAGCAACTCCACGCTGAGATTGTCCTCAGTGGCAGTAAAGAGCAACACTAACAACAACAAGTACCATAGTTAACAGTGCAAAGCAGGCCGCCTTAGAATGCTGTCTCTGGTCTTCGATGCACAAGCGTCACCACCCGAGATATGCTAAAGCTTCTGACAAAGCTTCTCGATGGGTAAGTCCCGTTGTAGCCTTTGCCGAAGATGCGGCAGAATCATCCTGTGCAATCGTGGACTGCTACACCGGCCGTAAGACGGCTCGAAGGACACTCCTACTGGCCTCCATGTCTTCCCAGAAGTCCTTTGCGCCAGCGTCTCGTTGGCGATGCCGGGAATGTACATCCTCTCGCGCACAGATCACCGGGTAAAGAAGCGCATAGTCGGAGCGAATGCGCAGTGCCAACTCAAAAGTGGATGCAACCGAATCCGCAGAATCGAAGAACGCGCTAGGGTGGACGTCTCTGACATTCTCCAGCAGCGCATGGATTTCAGTCGGGGGGCCCAGCAGCTTCGGATGAACTGAAGGTATGCCTTGTTGAAAGCTCTTCGAAGCGTTGTAGGCTCAGTGAGCAAGCTAAGTTGTCTGCATCCGAGCTATCTTTATCAGCCAGGATGCTGCTTCGCGGTCATCGAATCCTGATCAGTCGTGCTCTGGGAGCAGCTGATGACTTAGTTCTGCCTCTAACATCGCCACCCTCGCACTCACACAAGGTAAAAATGAACCCTTCAGCCGCGCCTGCTGGGTTCGCAGGATCACGCGCAATGCCCTGCAACCAGTAAACGTCACGATTGAGTCTGATGCGCACAGAGAGCTCTAGACTCTAGGGTGTTTGCAGACGTCGAAATAAAGAAGACCTGCGGACGACGACGACTACTTGGACGACTACCACCGATTCTGCTGCTGCTGCTACTACTAATTACTACTACTACTCCTCCTCCTCCTCCTCCTCCTACTCCGACAGCTACTGCTACTGCTACTGCTACTGCTACAGCTGCTGCTGTTGCTGCTGCTGCTGCTGTTGCTGCTGCTGCTGCTGCTGCTGCTGCTGCTACTGCTACGGCTACGGCTACTGTTACTGCTGCTGCTACTAAGTTACTACCACTACTGTACTACTGCTACTCATCGTGCAATCTTGGCAGACGAAGCGGCCAAAACAATCTCGGGTTTGCCCGAGAATGCCACGGCCATTGGAGCCGCTTCATTTGCTTTTCGCACCATTCGAACAAAGGCAATAACTCCTGCGGCATCAGCACAAGAAAAGGCTGCCTGAGGCTGTTTGTGACGTGCAACACTCACACGCAGGCAGGCAATGGCACGTATTCCTTCTCTCTTCTGCATCTATTTCTTATTTTGTAGCTGGCGCTTGCTCTGTCTGTCCTTGGCAACAGTATGTGAACCCTAAACCCTAAACCCTAATGTAGCCTGTATGTCTGATACATGCCCTGCAGAACAGGGGAGCGGCATAAAATCGGTTGTGAACCTTTAGGGTCGTAGTATCTCCTTATAGCCCCCTACAGAATTTATAGTATCCCCTATTGTAGCCCTTGTGGAATTTTGTGTATCCCCTTACCCCTTATAATATAGCCCCTTTAAATAGTGTAACAACTGCGGTCCTATGAGCTGCGTCACGAAGTTCACCAGGTTGGGAAACCTTCGACACTTCCAACGGGCCCGAGACAATATGTAAGATTTTGTAGAATATAAAACAGACAAAATATATGTATATATGTGTATATATATATATGCATATACAGACAATATGTAAGATTGAGCTGTAAGAGAGCAAGGCTTCGGGCTTCGGGCAGAGTGGGAGGAGCTTCCGCGGGCCTCTTACGATATTTGCTCTGTCTGAAGACATGGCCGTTGCCGTTGCCGTTGCCCGTCGCTCACGGAAGCCTTGATGAGGACAAGCGGCTCCAAGTAGTACGAGGAGACGCCCCTTGTGAAGCAACCTGAGAAGAAGTACGTGCGATGGCTCCAAGACGAAGCATCTGCACGGCGCCTGCACAGTTCATCCTGTCGGTGAAGACACGCAGCGACCCGGCAACAGTCATCCTTTTCCTGTGCAGGTGCTTCTGTGCACTGACCTTGAAGGAGCACCCATGAGCTGCTCATCCAGAGCCTGTCCGGTCGCAAAGGCAACTTCCGGACAAAGCAAGAACCTCGGCTCCAGGGCAGCCAGCCGGCCAGAAAAGAAAACGAGACACTCCACGAACTCAACCTGAGTGCTTCTTCGGCGCCTCGATTCACTCCGGGGATGCCGAGGGTGTGGTTCAAATGGGTCGGTAACCTGACACACAGGTCCAGTAATGTGACATCGAGAAAAATCAAACCGCACACAGCTCAGAGTCGTCGGCGATGTGCGCTGCACCGACTACTGCGTGCACATGCAAGTCTAGCAAAGGCGAGGAGCCTTAAGCTGAAGCTCTGAGCCCCGAACCCAACAAAAAACCCAAACCCCAGAATATACATGATATAAACCATAATTCGGGTCCCCTTTATGGAGTTTTTTATATGGCTTTATAAGGGAATCTAGTTTAAACCCATCATAACCTGAACCCTTGTCCTCCTTTGCCCCGTTCCGAATGCCTCTTCCCACTTTAGGCCCAGCCGAGTCATGTTGGCGAGTGCCCCGGGATGGCAGGGCACGGGGAGGAGCAGAAAAAGGGCGTCTGATAATCAAAGATAATAGTACTAATAACAAGAATAATCACAATAATAACAAACATAATGCTAGTAGTAGCAATAGTAATGGTAATAATAGGAATCATCGTCATCATCATCATCATCACCACAATCATAGTTATAGTGAGAGCAATCATAACCATAACAATAATCACCATCATCATCATCATCACTATTGCACAGCCTTGGGGTCGAATCTAGGTCTTGGAATCCTTGGAAGTACACCGGTTACCCCAAACCCGAAAAGTTCAATTCCCCAACCCCTGAACTCAAACTGACAAACTCCACTCCACTCCACCCCCCCCCC